GGGGGGGGGGGGGGGGGGGGGGGGGGGGGGGGCAAACATTTATCGAAGACAGCGGGAAATGAAGATGGTTTTCCAGTTGGGAACTGTTCAGCCAAATGGACTCGACGTCAATTTTAACTTCATTTGAACTTATAATTAATAATATACTATACTATTTTATTATCTTCTCTACTTTTTCTCCTAGATAGTGCTATGCTACCTTATGTATGTTTCATTTAACTACACTTTAAGTAATTTTTCATTCAATGCTTTAGGACATTTAATTAGGTTAATTGTAATCATACTAAAATATAACAAATATACCACACGAGACCATACATTTTATACTTTACCGTACGGAACCGTACCATAATCTACTACACTCGCATAACTGGTCCATACTATACTACACTTTGCTCTACTTTACTCTAGTATGCTACGTTATGCTATACTATACTCCTTATTCCAAAATGGCGGCCAATTTATTATTCTTTTGTTTGCATGTTAATTAGCCCTTAGCATGTTAATTTGCCCCATTTTCACTTCAAAATTCTTTTGTACTTTGGAGATGTTGACGAGTCAGAGACGGTTAATTAACATGCAAAGAAAAGAATAATAAATTGGTCGCGATTTTAGATTAAGGTGTATACTATCTAAAACACTTTTATGCTATCCTACGCTATGCAAAGCTACTCTACAGAACGTAATAACGTAGCATGAAATACAATACAAAACTAGCTGCATACTATACTATACTATGCTATACTATACTATACTATACTATACTATAATTTATTCTTCTAGACTTTTCTCCACTCTATTATACTATTGTCTACCACTGCTATTAGTATTTTGTAATTGTCTTGCTTAAGTTATGTAAATGCGAAGGCTACAAACCTATCTTTAAAGTCGATAACGATTAACTACGTGTCGCCATGAAGGACCGACTTACCGCACGTGACAACTTTGTTGAGTGTGTTTGCCCTCTTTGTAAGTAGCACTAAAAGTATCATTATGTTGCAGATAATTTGTGCTTTTCCCATTTCAGATTCCTGAAGGGAGAAAATAGATACATTCTGTGACTCAACATGATAGCATATTGTCGCTTGACCTGTGTATTATTCCCTGATAATGAGTAACGAAAAACTTTACCACACCTGCTACTTTTGGGGATGAAAATTGGTCATAGTATCGCGGCTAACTCCACTCCACGCGCGAAAATAGTACAAATATGGCGCGATATTTGTACAGGTAGGTATTTGTATAGTAAAAACCGGCACTCATTCCGTTTCACTATTTCTCGTAGTTTTCTTTACTGCTAATCATAATAGATTAAGTTGGATAATTAATCTTTTCTTAGATGTTTTGGCGTATAGTATCTGTATATTGTTGTTTGTATTTGATGAGCCCGCAGGAAATTGGCTTTTTTTGTTCTCCCTAATCCCGCTCAAGATCTTGCAGACTCGCATACTTAAACTAGGAAGTCAACTTGTCGTCCATATCAAGGTATCAGTAAGGGGAAAATTTGTCATTTTGCATAATTTTACTTTTTAAGCGGTTGGATAAATCTTGAGGTTATCTTTAAGATTAAAAAAACTCTACAAAAATAATATTATACCTGCCGCTAGTTATTGCGTGAGAAAGATTTTTTGCATATTAATTACTTAATTGAGAGTTGACAAGCTCTGTCAAATGAATTAATTATCGAGGCAAGAAATCACACGACATCAATAACATGCTGAGTTGACACGCGATTCGCGCGCCGTAATCAGTGTACGGACGTCTTCGAAGAAGCGATCTTGCCCGTTCTCATCAGCTAAAGGAAGGCTAAAGAAGGAAAAAAACACTTTCAACAAAGAGTGAGCCGCTAAATTAGCGGAAAGCGACAAAGGGTCGTTTTACAACCAAGAAAAATTGCTGGATGAACTCGACAACGATCGCGATCACGAAGCCAGGGAGCAAGCCGAAATGAGCGCAAGCCGCGCTAAAACATTGTTGCAAGAAACTGTCCAAGCAGAGGAAATTGACGACGAGAAGTGGACGAACTCGAAAGGCAGATCGATTGTTTCGGGTGAAAGGCTGCAATAATGATTCGGGATGCGAATTAGTCAACCGATACGTAAAATTTCGAACGTTAATATAGTAAATCAAAAGATAATTTCGCGTTTACTAACCTTGGAGTTCTGACTTTACACATAAAAATCAAAGGAGACCTATCGTCAAACTCGTAGATTAAGTAATTTAGAGATGAAACATGTTGGTGAACTTGCAATTACTGGTGTATTTTTAAAGGCTGTTAAAACAAGCCGGGTTCGTACCACGCAAGGTCGCACTTATTTCACAAAGCATAGGCTTTTTTCGTTGGGTTTTGTTGCACAACTATTACAGAATAGCTAGGGTGGCAAAATTGCAGCTGAACAGAGAGTTGTAAAGGCTAAGGGTTCTTGGATCACAGAGGACACTCGTGCCAAAGAAATCTAACTTCATCCTCTTGTAAACTAATAACAAACGTATGTGCCAAAAATCTGAGACACCGTTTTAGAGGTCAATGTGTGAAGAAACGGATGCCATGTTAATCGTTTTCTCCGGCCTAAATTTAGCGGGCGTATACCTTGATTTATGGGTTCGTGAAGCTTTGTAAACATATTCAAATTTTCGAAACACGGTAAATTTTACCGTTTTAAACAGATCGGGTCATAATCTGTAGTTATTAAGCTTCTAATAAATATACAGTTCATATGGGTTTTTATTAAAACCACAAACGCTAGAGCGGACCGCGCGCCGATGGTTAAACGGATTGTATTGATACCTTAATGATATTCGATGGACTGATTGTTTTTCAAATTTTGAAACGTCCATGCTACAACCACTGCATATCAATTGAATGCGAAATTCCACTGAAGAAAACATTCGCTGTCTTATACATTATTCTTTTGTCTTCCACTGTGAACCTTTCAACCGCACCTATCCGAGGCAAATTAAAAGCACTGAACAGTAATACATGCTGCAAAATTGTAACAACGTGGCCTCTAAAGGTCTGTCAGCTTGTTTGAGTCTGCGCATACGTATTGCTATTAATAAATTATCGGTCTTTGAAGAATACTGAGATCCCTAATGAGAAAAAGTTAGTACATAATTGATTTTCATCCACCAATGTCCCTGTTTAATTTCGAAAAATTTGCAAATATATTTTTTCCTTTACAGAAGAACAGACTAATTTTGATTGCATTTTCGTTTAAAAATCTTTCTTTAGTCAGTACTTTGGTTGTACTTTATACTCAACCAATTTAAGTCTATTAGCTTATAATTTTCTCAACATAGGAAGACAGAAGCTAGAGGCCTAATGTGCCTCGCCAAACTGAAGTAAAGTGCATTCAAAAATTCATATATCCCTATATTTATCCGACGTGCTATAACATCATTAATAATGTTTCATTACTAGGTTTTAAAATAAACTGAGTGATAAATTTTAGAGTGTGTTAGAGCGATACCAACTTTCAGTAGACTATGGAAGCGTCCTGGTATAAAATATTTCAAACGGAGGAGACGCTCGAGGAACAAGTTGTTCAAAATTTAGATTGTTGAGTTCAATCACCATCGCAAATATTCAGAGGGCGAACAAGGTGTACGTCAAGATGCTTTGAGGGGTTCAAAATAGCGGAAGAATGGCTGCACTGCACTATGAATATAAAAGAGTCAGCCCTCGGTTTCCTAGAGAAGCTGCTCACATGTTAGTTACGAGGCTTGTATCGCTTAAAACTTCGTCAACATTAGTCGCTGTCTTGCACTACACAATTCATTAAAGCAATACGTTCATTCAAATTCATTCAAATTCCTAGTAAAATTTGAATGCAAGCGACATAACGCTGCTTTAATTTCCCGTTGAACGTACTCAATTAAGCTCTTTTTACTTCCTTATAATAGTCGTGAATATTGAAGACGTGAAAAACTACTACTTCTCCACTCACGCGTGAAGGTGATAGAGACAAAACATAACTTAAGGGAAAGCTTGGTTTCCTAAACGGTTGCCAACGAGAGCTACAAATAAATTTGTCTAAATTTCTTTTTTATCTTTTAAGCAACGCTTGAGTCGTATACGCCGTCACAACCGTTTTCTAGCTGTTGACGATATGTACTTATCATCTTAACGTTTATTCATTAAAATAAAAATTATTTGGCAGTTTTCAAACTGTGATCCTGCCCTCTCTTGAAGTGTCTAACGCCCAAATTTCATGACAATTTTTTGGCAAATTTGACGTTCAGCTATTTTAAAAGCTAAGACATTACTACATCCAACTTACCTGCTATTTTCACATCTGTGCGAAGTTTAAGTATCCCAAAACTTCCTGGATTTCAAGTGAATGCCATCCTCGTAGCTAGGCATGTTGGCACCTGCTGGCTTCCAGCTATAATTGGAGGACTGAGTAATTATTTTCCAAGGGCACTAACCTAGTGCTGTCTACAGTTGATGTTCTTGAGAATAAACCTGTCAGTTCAGTGTGTTTTTGATGAATAATTTGACTAGGAAGCTAACTAAATACAGCCCAATAGGCAGTGTTAAAACAAAGAATGAGACTAATTAACCCAGAAGGACGTCGGATACCTTATTCAAGCGATTTTCTTGGATGCTGCTTTGTAAATTGTCCTCAAGCCAGATTTGAATGATAAACGCGAAAATGCCTCCAAGAGCAGAAAATCTTATCCGTCCAGTGCTTGTTTTTGCAAGCAGTCATTAACAATTTGTGCGTTTGGTTTTTCTCAGCCTGTTTTTAATTAAGCTTGGACTTAAGATCATAAATCATTCCCGAACTCTCTCTTTGTTTAATTTTCTGAAGTTATGACAAGCAGTGGGCGGTGAGCCCGTCAACTAGGAAATTAAAAATTTTCGACTGATATCCCGTGACAATTAGCAGGTGTCTCCATGGTTACGTAGTATTAATATTTTCGAAAGTGGCAACAACATCCTTCACCAACATCAAGCGGACGAAATTCTAGTCCTTTCTTCAAACACTTTTAGTGTAAAATATCTGACAAGATTGCCAGATTAATTGAAGTGGCAACAAAAAACATAATCTAAGAACAGTGATAAGACTTTACACTTGATGACCACATAACTTCTCACTCTGATATTTTATTGATGCGCTTCATTCTTATAGTTAGAGATATTCTTAACAAATTAAAGTTTGTGTAGCTGGCAAATTTAAGGCAAGAAGATTAAATGGCGATCTTTAAAACTGATGCGTTTCCTTTTCAAAATATGTTTTCTAACTACAACATATCATATTTTTATTTGCCAATAAATAAACCCTCAGGATACGAGGGGTTATGTTTAATCTTGTGCCACAGGCCAACCGTTAACAGCAGGTTGTGCCCAGTTAAACGCGCTTCTCTAAATCGACACGGTACAATCATATTTTGGCAGAAAACTCCTGGAGCCAGGAGTCAATATTTTTAAACATTTGGAATTTAAGAACTCTAGGGGTAAAAACAAGAATACTGAAATAAAATAGTTGGCAGACAATAGAGTTGAGAGTTGAAAGTTTACAGCAAAATGAGCGTTTCCAGTTGCCAAATTATTGCAACGGCTTAAGTAAAGTATATTCCACCAAACATTGAAAAGAAAATTAAGAATAATTTAATCAGTTTTCTTATTTTTTCAAAATTTTCTCGCGTCGCATTATTGCCAAAAAAAGGCTGTCTATTTGAACAATATTTACAATATTTGACATCAGAAGACTTCGCGAAAACATCGTTCAACATTCATGGACAGAAACACACAAATTGCTGACACTTTTGACCATGGGGATGTCATAAGGTTTTTGTTTTCTATGTAAATATTAGATGTGGCAGAGCATTTACGACAGCTACGACAAAAAAAGTTGTTTTAGCCATAGCTGAAGCAACATTAGCTAACATTTTTCTTCCGAATTCTCCGAGAGTCCCTAAATATTGCTTTATCAATTCAGTTAATTTTTTTCTTAGTCTACCTCAACGACGTTTCGATTTTTCAATAATTTCCAACGGTGCATCCTTACGAAAGTCACCATCCATAGCACTTGTTTTCTATTTTAAGAAAATACGCGATATTTTTTATTTTGAAAACACGTTTCGACAGTTCTTCTGTCATCTTCAGTTCTAATTTACACAAAGTGCAGAGTTGAATTTATTGAATGCTAATTGGATATAACAACAAAAGGAAACATAATGAATACAATTACAAAGGAAGTTTTGAATTAACATGATAAAGTTGATGATTTAGTGTAGGTTGCTCTCATTGAATATAAATAGCTTCTTCGAACTTAAGTTGGAAGGTGGTGGAAGCGTGATCTGATATGCTAAAACAATCATTAGAACATGAAGTGCGGAAATGTTGAGAATTTTGCAAGTGTCTAAAGATGTGAGAGGTCCCATCACTGACCAGGTGCTCACGTATGCGTGTGGAAAAATCCTGAGAGGTTTAGTCGACATAGCAGGCATTAAAGCCCGCACACACAAACTTGTAAACCACGCACGCACGAAGTCCACGAGGAATAGGGAAAATCCTAACATGTCTGCTACTATGCAAACCACTTGTTTTCTATTTTTTCAGGCATCGATAAATTTAAGATTCAAAAGAAAGAGGCAGGCTTTCCCAAGGGAAAGTTAAGGGCATCTGACTGAGACGAAGTTATAATGGGTAGCTTAACCAATGACGACGGCAACGGCAACGAAAACGTCATTTTAAAATATAACTTCTCGTTTCTGTGATTCTTTTGCGATGATTCCAATTTGTTTAACTTGGAAAATGCTGGCGATCTTTCTTGGGACAAATTACTATGAAAGGCGTCAAAGTAAGGGGAAAAAAAAAAGAAAAAATTGCCGTCATGCGCTCACGATTTTCCAGAAAACATAAAATTTGGCCATATCACGTTGTTGTTTTGCAGAGGACGGCAAAGAAATGTACCAAAATCGAAAACGCACGCGCAGAGCGACTGTTTTTGCTCGTTAAACCTTTTGTTTTGTGGCGTTCTCGTTGCCGTTGCTCTCCTTCCTATTCGAGTCCTCGAAACTCTTCACAGACAAAACATCTTCCTAAGCAGAGAATTCGTTTAATGTCGTTTTTTTAGTTATCACAGTCAACTTATATTTCATATCTTTTTCAGCAGTTTGGTGCATTTATATTTGTCTCGAGTTCGTCTTCAACCTTTTGCAATTGGTGTCTATGTGTAAGCCCCCAAGATGAGCTCATCGCGCTGTCACTGTCTCTGTCACTGTCTCTGTCACTGTATCTGTCACTGTCTCTGTCACTGCCTCTGTTTACTGCCTCTGTCACTGTCACTGTAATGGCATGACGGCAATTTTTTCTTTCTTTTTTCGTACTTTGGCGTCGTTGTTAGTAATTTAGTCCCTGGAAAGATAGCCAGTATTCTACAAGTTAAATAAATTGGAATAATTGCAAAAGAGTTACAGAAACGAGAAATTATATTTTAAAATGACGTTTTCGTTGCCGTTGCCGTCGCCGTCGTCATTGCTCAAGCTTCCTACTGTCATTGTCACTGCCACTGCCACTATCACTGTCACTGTCACTTCCACTTCCTCTGTCACTGTCACTGTCACTGTCACTGTCACTGTCACTGTCACTGTCACTGTCACTGTCACTGTCACTGTCACTGTCACTGTCACTGTCACTGTCACTGTCACTGTCACTGTCGGTTTCACTGTCTCTGTATCTGCCACTGTGACTGTCATTAATTGTTATTGCATTGCCATTGCCACAGTCATTGCCACAATCATTGTCACTTCCACGGTTATTTTCATGGTCATTCATGTATTTGGGGTGGGGAGGGTACGTGCTGGGGGTAGAGGAATGAGGGTTATTCATCCGATAAACAACTCTTACGCGTTTTTGTTCGATCTTTACGGGTGTCATTAACGAATATTCAGTTGTATACCATGCCACTACCCTCGCCATCAATGACTCTTCTGGTTTCAGCAATACTTCAATAATCTTAAATCCATCAACGGAACAGGCGATATCAACTTCTTAAATCGAGGTAATATGTTTGCACGAGTAATCTTTTTAAGAGTCCTTCTCCATAAAAATGGAAAATAACTCGGTAAGGGTCGAAAATTCGATTTCGTTCATATTTTCATAGTAGATTGGCTAGGGCATGACAAAAACTACTGGATAGTTTTTTTCTGTTTTTGGCAAAATATCCTTTTACTTCACAGAAATATGGTAGATATTACCCAATTCCGTTAAAATCGTCATTTTTTATGCATCATTTTGTTAAACAAGTTTGAGAGCCTCGCATGCAAAACCACATCATTCTTCCGTCTTTAAAGCACTCAAACATTTTTGTGCAATGTTTAAATGTGTACTGGGTTGATTTTAGGGAATGTTGCGTTGTCTTTAATGGGTGCAAAATAATTAAATTTCGAAGACATGTATTTCTTTAACTTTAAAGTACTTCGTGAATATAATTGATTTTCACCATGTGCGAAACCTTCAAATGGATTAAGCTTCTCGTGGTTGAATTGCAGAAGGATGGTCTACAGATTCCTGTAAAAATTTGTTTCGGGCAAATGATTGTGAGCGACGCGAGAGCTTTTCAAAGTGCGTCAAAAATGCAGATATTTGACCATTCCCTTGTCAAATTTCAATTTACGGCTTAGACGTATATTTTAGCACGCGCCACATGACTTGACCTATGTTAAGTTGAAATAGTGAGCTCTCGTATGAAAATGACGGGGGCGCTCGTCGAAGGAACCCGGTTTTCGTACCTCTTAGGGTGTTTAGCGTCAAAATGTCCATAGCGGGAGCTTTAGCAGTACCTTTTAGGGTATTGACCCGAAAAAATGGGATGTGTGATGTAAGAATTAGTACCTCTAAGGGGAGAAAGAAATTTCAAGCCACGCCTACAAAACAGGATCGTGGTACCTCTCAGGGGTTCCTTTAGAAATTTTCGACGAGAGCCCCGTCTTTTTTTTATATGAGAGTCTCCCTCCCCCGCTTCCGTGTGCTGGACCTACTGCTCCACCCTAATCCAAGTTTTGAACGATGGTTTTTGAGGACATATTACGGTCATGGTGCGCAAACTTTCGCTTTTGGTGAACTTCGCCGCTCGGCATAAAATCAGCTCGACTTAATTCATCTTCAAGACTGTTCACAGCCTCTCTAATTATGCATGCGACAGAAAAAGCGAGCGAAGCGAGCGCAAA